GACAAGAGAGTGATCCCCATCTTCTATTGAGCTACCTTTAGGCCATGAGAGATCATAAAGGGCCATGTTCTTCTGTGGCTAAGTGCATGTAGGTATAAGGTAATGTTACTGAATGGCAAAGAAATTATATCCTATGATGTGTGGGCAAGGAATAGAGAGCATTCATTATAATAATAACATAATGACATTTCAACCAGGGGTGGCTGGTGGGTTCCATGTCAACAGGGTAATGAATCTGCTCTTGATTTTGCTTTATAGTCTGACGACACTTTGAACAGTGCCTGAAAGTTTGGACTAAAACCTAGAGTGGATTCACCAACTTATTGACATAGAATTCAACAGCTACCACTATTTTCAATACAGTTATTCATAATTTTGAAAATAAAACTATATATTAATTCCAACTTCATCGTCCATTAGGTTATTTTTCGTCTCCAGTTACATATCCATGGATTATGTAACCATGGATTCAACCATTCACAGCTTGAAAATATTAATCTATATCTATATCTGTATATAAATTCCAAAAGGAAAACCTCGATTTTGCCATTTTATATACGGTAAGGGACACTGTTTATTACCCCATTTTCTATAATGGGAATTGAGCATCCATGGATCTTGGTGTCCACAGGGGGTCCTGGAACCAAACTCTAGCGAATATCAAGGGTCCACTATATATGAAGTCACAAAACAAAGTTGGATGAAGAGAGAAGAAAAGAAATCAACCAGCCGTTCTTTCCAAACTGTTACATAATCATATCTCTTTATGGTATGCAAGTTGCTTGGAGTCATTTAATCAAATGTGGTATAGTATTTTAAGCCAGACAGTAGACCACATGAAGAGGTGTTTGCTTGCTAACCTTTCATTGAGTAAACAAAGCTTTAACAGCTTGTGAGACAGGGATCAGACATCTTCTTTTCATGGTGTGCCATATACTCTGAATAGTCTGGTTTACTGAGGAGACACTGAATAAACACTATTTGTTCATACATGTTGATCTGTGTATCCAATTTAGCACACATGCCCCATTTGAAAAATTTTCACAGAATTCTTTCATTTCATATAAAATGCATCATTGTTATAACTAATAATATACATTTACAAACTCTGTTCTTGTAAAATTAGTATCCTTAAAAATTCCCCTCCCACAAAACCCTCTTAACTTTTCTAACAGTCTTCTAGAAAGGAGAAGTAGAATGCTGGAGCAGACATAATTGACTAACATCTATAGCATAGCTCAAAATAGACTGAATTACCTGACCTTTGAGTCACAAAGCTTCTTTCATGGGGTCCAACAGACTAATTCTTTAAAGATACAGGCCTACAGTGCTCTAGTTGGTACTGAAAAATACCACTGATAAGTGAGGAAGGCTGCAATCCTATACATACTTACATGGTAGTAAATCATATACAGGACTGTACTCTTCCTGTATTAGACTGTCTATCCTATATCTGTAACAGATGAAGTGTAAATTAAAAAGATGAAACTGACAGTATTAGTGTGAACGTGTCGACTCAGACTAAGTCCCATATATCTTGAAGTACTTTTATAGACTAAAACTGCAAGTTTCATTTTTTAAAGTGTTTTACACCTGACCTATTACAAATCCAGGAATGACAGTATAATAGGGCAAATACACAATCCTATACATCAGGGGTAGGCAACTTTTCCCCTTTAAGGGCCGAGGGACTTCAGCTCCCAGAGCCTCAGCCATGTTGGCCAATAGTCCCATGTTGGCCAATAGCTCCTGGCATTCTGGGAGTTGAAGTCCCTTGGCCCTTAAAGGGGAAAGGTTGCCTACCCCTGCTATACGTGTATATGCAGCAATAATTCCCAATAAATTCAATACATTCCCAGGTAAGTATGTAATGCAGAGGTGAGAAATATGTATCTTGGACAACAACTCTTTTCACCTCTAGACACTACACTGATAGTGAGTGATGATGGAAGTTGTACTCCAAGAGCAGCTAGAGCATCCCTGTGTAAAGGATGGCAGCTTAAAATTATTTTCACTAACCAACATATCATAAAAATGTAAGAGCTACTCAAATCATAGAATCATAGAGTTGGAAGAGACCACAAGGGCCATCCAATCCAAATAATTGGTTCATCCTTCAAGCTGATTACCATTCCTGAGATTCAATATAATTCTGGTGGAATGAAAAATCCTAGCAGTGTACCTATGCTGGATCTCAAGGAGGAGAAGGATGGGGTCCAGCAACAGTTGGAATGGGGGCTGCTAATGGGACTGGATTTCACTTTCCCCTCTGCCAGCCACATAGGCTCTGTAGGCACCAACTCTCTCTACTTGAGTGTGTGAGCTGTTGATTCCCAGCTTCCAGTTTTCATGCTAAGCCTGGATTGGAGCAGGGATGTATGTCCTCCTCTGAAGTTGAGTCTTTAGATGTCTCCCAGAAAATGGTAGTGCGGGAGAACCAGAAAGTTGGGAAAGGGGAGATGGCACTTTACATCTTCTTCTACCCAGCCACTAGGTAATCTGGTTTCTAGTCAGATTCAGAAACTATAGATTTCCTGAAGGGAACAGAGCACTGCTTGCACAAGCTTTAGAAAAGTACAACTAGTCAAATAACCAAGGGTTGTGTAACAGTACTGCCACTATTGGATCCTGCCCTGTGTTTTAAAAGGGGTGGGTGAGTATACAACCTGAAGTTCTAGGATGCTCCCACCTGCTCAGCTGCAATGAAGAAAATGATCTTCCTTGGCTTCTAAGATGGCAGCTTTCCTTTATTAGTAACCTGAAGTACAAGGGCTAGAAAACAGTGGTCTAAGTAGAAATAACAATGGGTTGAGAGAAGGCTGGGGATTAGGAGAGGTTTTTGTTTCCAACAACCCCTAACAATCTTAGGGATTCAGCAGGCAAGGAGAGGAGGTTTAAATCTAGATTGTGGTAGGGAGGGAGAAGAAAGCATTTAGCATGTAGACACATGTGGACATGTGTAATCCTTACATGACACAGATGTAGCCCTCAGTGTCTAAAACATTGTGCACACTTGTTTCAAAAGAAAGACACATTTAGTACAAAAGTGTGCACATGTCCTTTGTCTGACAACCTGCACATATTATGTGGAAACATCAATTATTACTGTCTTGAAAGAGGAATATATTACTGACCATCTGTATTGCATGTTTTAGTGCAGAAATCAGTAGAGAATATAATTTAAGTGGAGGTGCACCCTTAGAGGTGCAAATTTCTTATCTTTTTTTCAGCAATGGAGGGGTTGCAGGATTGCACAAAAGCAGATAAGCTTGCCTCACGAGCTCCCCCAAGCATGTTAAAAGAGCACAGATCTATACGTTTGGCCACCAAAATGGAAATTGTAAGACAAGTGGAGGCTGGTGAAAGAAGTGATTTTGGAATAAGCTTTCAAGTGGTCACTAGAAGGTTCAGAATGTTTTTCCTTACTTATTAAAGGCTTATCTGACCTGGCTGTATTAGTGGTTATGCACATATTGCTAGTTTTTGAATAGAAGGTTTGCTGAACGTTGAGATGCCCTTCTTTTTTGTGGTGTAGGAAGCTATCTCTATTATCTCCATGTTATTTCCACCTCTGTGCCAAATTTTCTGTTAAAGAACTAATGATCAGGAACATGTGAGAGCCAGCATGGTGTGGTGGTTTAATTGGTGGACTACGATTCTGGAGACCAGGGCTCAGGCATGGAAACTCTGAGACTTTGGGCAAGTCACCCTCTTTCAGACTCAGAGAAAGGCAAAGGCAAATCCCATCAGAAAAATCTTGCCAATAAAGATGCTAGGTTTGCATAAGTTGGAATCAACTGGAAGGCATACAACAACAGAACACACAGACTTCATTAACTGAGGTATGTTTGTATTGCTGGTGCATTAACAGAGAGGTAAAGGAGACAGAAAAGACTGAAAGAACACTGTGGCAGCAAAGAGCTTTATTGCTAATGATACTAAGAAGTTTAAATATACAAATGAACCCTGACACATTTACATACAAATTGGAGCATTTGTAGTTAATCCAATTGCTGTGAATTACAAAAGCATGGTGAAATATTCAGTGAGGAAACAACTGAAAGAAGGAAGAAAACTGCCTCTAGTACCAAGAATGGTGAGTGCACCCTGTACAGTCTTCAAGCCAATGGAATTTTATTGAAATC